CCAAATACCCATTCCTCATTCCAAACCAAGTTTCACAAACCATATTCCAAACATTGCATTTGGATCCAAGTCTAAGTGATCCACTCCAAACCAAAGAGGGGAATCTCTCACAATTCACTCTCATTTTCATAATTGATCTCATTCTCTCTCAATTTTCTAACTCCAAAACCCTCACCAAAGCTCTTCTCATTGAGATCATTGATTCTTCATTGGAATCCTTGATTTCTAAGAGCTAAACCTTCATCCATTCTCTCCATTGAATCAATTTCTTCATCCAATTTTCGTGCAAAATTGGATCTGAATCTGGAAGCGATTTTAGAAGTGATTATTTGGCTTATTTTGGCTTGATTTTGGTGAATCCTCACTCCTACAACAAGAACATACTTGGATCTTAAAGAATCTACCGTTTTCTTGCTCCGATCTGCTTATTTCCAACGAATCAACATTAACCGGAGCAAATCTCCACTTCGTAGGTTGGAAATTCTTGATCTGAATCTGTTTTTTAGCTTATTTGCATAATCATGTAGATTTTCATCTTTGATTGACTTTTGGTTAATTTGATCCGTTTGATTCATGATTTGGTTATGTTAATATGTTCATATGTTGTTTGAATCATGATTTGTTGGTTTAATTTCGTGATTAAGTGATTATGCGATCATCCGGTTGATCGGATAAGTGCTTATTTGCTGAAAATGTTGTTTTGTTGCTGTTTTTCTATTATTGGCACAGTGTTAATCGGTTAACACATATGGTTAACCGATTAACCATTTCAGATATTCAAAATTTTCAAAGTTTTCAAGGTGTTAATCGGTTAACTCTTGGTGTTAATCGATTAACAGGTATAAATTTCCAGATTTTCAAACATTTTTAAGTGGTTAATTGGTTAACCTCTGGCGTTAACCGATTAACATTGTGTCAGTGGGTTTGTTTTGCTGTTTTTCTTGCTTGTTTGAGTACCATTTCACATCGAATCATTGTAGTTCAATACGATGCATTACAAGTGAAATGTTTTGGGATATATGTCGTTGTTTTGGTTGTTTAATCGAGACTTCGTTGACTTGTGTTTGTTTTCCACTTGGATGCACACTTATGTGTTGTTGTTCGTAGTGATGATGTTCTTGCATATTCATGTTTGCTTACATTCTTGCATTTTCATTTCCTCTTGTGCTTGCATTAATAAAGGTCGAGATGTGCTTGTGGTGGTGTTTACCCCACACTTTGTTCCTCCCTTTGCTTGTGTGTTGCATTCCATGTTTGCATCCCTATTTTCACTCTCGTTTATGTTTGGTCTTTCTTCTTCCTTTGTCTTTCTTTGCTAGGATCCTCTAGGATCTAATCTTCCTTGTTTAAGGTTGGTTATGATAGACATTAGGACTCAAACCATGCATGCTAACATTAGGGTAGATGTTCCCCCTTTTAATCCTAACCTTAGGACCACTTTGCATGACAACATTAGGGTCGAGTTTCCTTTAGACCTTCCGTGTGTCTCTCTTTTTCTCATCTCAAAACAATTCTAACTCATCTAATAAATGCGATGAATGTTGCGCGCTACGAGCCTTAAGCTACATGGGGAATGATGAGTGAGAGGTCTCCTCTCGCTTGTCTAGAGTGTTTAGTGTACGTCCCGTTTGGGGGCGATACGCGACGCATTCACTCCTATGTCATAGTCTTTAGTACAACGTGAATCACAAACCGAATTAATTCACTTCACTAAAAAAACAAAAACAAACTTCAAACCTTTTTCCTTCGGGATTAATGGAAAACCTTTTTCGTAAAAAAAAAGTGTTGTTAAGCTTCGGTTCTACCGCAAACAGGCATCGTCCCTAACTGCTGGAACAGAGGTTTAACCCTACTCGGTTAAAACACTTAATCAACCTGTGGTTTCGTGTCAGCCCGAACTACGTTTGCTCTGATTTCTCATACCAGATGAGGATACGTAGGCACAAGACGGCGATGTCTTGGCAAGAAACCTTCCCCACCTTTCACCCGTAATTAGCCGAACTACGTTAACTCTGACTTTCCCATTGCACGAGGGAATACGTAGACACAGAGCGGCGATGCTCTGCCGAGTCTCTTTTCTTTTCTTTTTGTCCTGTGAGCCTTTAGCGTAGATAGATTAAAAACATCCTTTGATATACAACAAGCGTGGATCCCGTCGAGTACGACGGACGTGAGGGGTGCTCATACCTTCCCCTTGCGTAACCGACTCCCGAATCCAGGACTTGGTTGCGATGACCTTGTCTTTTCCCTTTTTCGTTAGGTTTTTCTGATCGTTTCATTTCCCTCTCTTTGGAATAAATAACGAAAGGTGGCGACTCTTCTGTTTTCCGCTGGGTGTTTTTCGCAGTTGCGACAATTATGAGCATAGTCTGGCCTCAGAAACTTATCTTTTGATATTGCACCTGTATAATGCCTAAAATAAATTGTGCACTGTTTCCCGCACTCAAAATAACCTGCTGAAAAAAATAATCTGATACCCGATCGCTGAGCAAAAATAAATGTTGAAGCCTCTGATGCTTGCTGCTTAAAAAACTTGCAATAAAAGAAAGCCTTGAGCCATAGAAACCACTTGATCCCATGTCTCAAGAACCAATGCCATGATATGTACAATGATAGTGAAAATGAACGAAACATAAGTCAGTTAAGCTTAAAAATGAGAGGGAAAATTTTGGGGTGTTACAAAGGAAAATTAGCTACCAATAACCATGGTAGTTTGCTTTACATGTAAAGAGAGAAGATGAATGAGTATCCAAGTCGAAGAATCGAACTCGAATGTGAATCCAGCTTCTATTTTCAAAATATCACTCTTTGGTGAAGAAATGCTAAAAAATGAGGTTTCCATGTGAAAAATGGGTTATGATCCCCAAAAAGTGTGAAAAATACTTATATAGTATAAGTAGAATCTGCCAAGTTCGCCCAGCGAACTCCACTTTATGGCACCTGAAGTGCCTCTGAACAGTTAAACCGCCCTTGAGAAAATATCTGAGTTTGCCTAGCGAACTATTCTTCGCCCTGCGAGTTACTTTGCTACAAGTTCGCACAGCTAACTTAGGGTCCTTTAGTTACTGCCTCAAAACAGGGATGGTTCGTTGGTCCTTCGTTGCAACCTTGCCTAGCGAACGTTCGCTTCAAGTTCGCCCAGGGAACTTATAGTATTTTTCTTTCTGCCTCTAATTTAAAAGGGTTCGCTAGGGCTTCGCCAATTGCTCGCCCAACGAACATTCGTTGCTGGTCCTCATTGGTTGTTCGCCCAACGAACATGCTAAAACTTCACATTTTCTTTGGCTTCCTAGTCAAATTACTTGTGTCTTACACTTTGATGTTTTAAAATCCTGCACAATAACACACAAATCAAAGCAACCAAAGGTATTTGCAACATAGTTGAAGAATAGTATGAAAACATGAGACAAATCTAATAAAACATAACAAATGAGATGAAAAATGCCAATAAATATGGATCAAATTAAAGCATGTTTGGCATTCAACATCTTCTATCTTTTACAAGTTCTCTTTGTCTTCCACCGATGTCATTGACGACAAAATGAATGACTTGTCGAAACTGGTTGACACAACATCTTCTTCACTTTCTAGATTTTCTACATGGCTTGAACAATCACATAACTCTTCTGAGAATCTAATAAGGAGCTTTTTTATTTAACCTTTACTCTTATCACTTTGTTGATGAAATCCATCATAGATGTTCTTACAAGCAATCGGGCCACAACTAATATTTGCATGTTGTCTTTAATTGGATCTATTTCTATTAATGTCTCAAACCTTATTACTAATTTTAAGAACACCTTACTTCTCCATGCATCTACCGTGACCCCAAACACTCGAACCCACGTGAATCGTAATCCCCCGAGTCTCTTGATTCTCACTCTATCAATATTTTGAACCATTGTTAGAACTCACTTTCGGACTCTTTCAGGTCTTTTTCATCATCAATTTTTAAAAATACTTTGTCTCCCTCTAATGAATTCACCTTTATAGATGTGATTCCTTCTTTGACCATAAAATCCTGCAGTATATGTATTTGGTTGGCATTGCGAACAAATCCGATGAAACCTTTTTTAGCCCAAGTCATCTCTTCTTCGTTCATTGATATCATCACTCTAGCATCCTGCCTGACTTCTTTTTTCTGTTTTTCTTCTTTTGATTTTGGTCTCCACGCCCCCATCTTAGTATTGATTTGCTATTCTCTCTTGTTCATTGTTGCTTCTGCATATGTCTTTCCTTCTCTTCTAAAATTATGCCCAACACTTGTTTTGATCCTTATCAAGTTGATAACTTTACCCTATTGCTAGTTAGTTTGGTCTTCTCTTCATTCTTTTTATTGAGATTAGAAATACTCAGTTTTGTACTAGGCCTCGAGAACCAATAAATGTCAACTCATACCTTATAGGATCCAAACCAAACACATTCTTCTCACTATGTAGACATCAATAATTTTTCCAACATTCAAAAGCTCTTTCCATTTCTCTTTCACTTATATCTTCTAGAAAGTTATTGACATAACAAGTTAATATCTTATTCTCGATCATTTCGATCTCGTCGTCATAATCGCTTCCAAATGTATGTACTTTCCTCCTTTTTGAACTACGAAGATCCATCTCTCGCACTCTTGCTCACTTCCTCTATTTCTCATGTTTTTCCTTATTATTAAATGAGTTAGATGAGAGGTTATATAACTAATTTTGGAGCATAAACCCTTTACACCTGTCCCAAGTCCCAATCATAAATCAAGCCAAGAGTTTTACATGTTTTTTTTTAACAGAAACGGCACGTGGTGGATGAATTGTCGTTTAGACATTTTTGTGGCTTAGATGAGGTCCCCACTTTGATACAAAACGACACCTCATTCCGCGGTCCCGTGTTATTATAAATACGCAATAGATTTATTCAAAATCAAAGTTAAAAAGAAAAGAAAGAAAGAAAAAAAACTTATCTCAAAAACATTAAAATTGTTGCGAAAGAGAACGAGTTGACTCAGTGAGAAAATGGGAGAAGAGATGACTCGGATTATGATCGGAGTGAACGAGTCAAGCTTGAAGGGTTATCCACATCCTTCGATCAGCAGCAAAGGTGCTTTCGAATGGACGATCAAGAAAATTGTTCGGAACAATGTTTCTTCTTTCAATCTTCTTTTTCTTCATGTTCAAGTTCCTGATGAAGATGGTTGGTTTTGTTCCTTTTTTTCTTGACTAGTTGATTTTTTTTTGTGGTTCAATTCTTTAATTTCAAATCTTGATTTCTGTTCGAATTAATTTCGATGATGTTTTATTGTATGTAATTTCTGTTGATTATGTAGTGTGTAAAAGTTGTGGTGATTTTAGTGTGATTTATGTGACATTGTGTAGATTGAGTTGGATTGACCGGGGTTTTAAAAAACAGTCGCGGTCGTGTAAAGGTTTTCGCGATTCCGGTCGGTATAGGTGTTGCACACTGATTACGATCGTCGCAGTGTGAATTAACCACAATTTGTTCTTTAATATAGAAAACGTGATAATGATATCGGCATCTTCCTTATTTGAATTTATCTAATGGCTTAAGCACTTGTAAAGTAAACTTATAATATGCCTTTGAATTATTTATGTTTATCTCAATAAGCCTCTCTGAAAATCTTATGAGCAAACATTGGCTAAGAACAACTTATTTGAGCTTATCTAAGGAGATAAAGAACCTTGTGTGAGTGGTTAGGAAAATTTATCGAAATAGCTTATGATATGTCTATAAGTTGTTTTCGAGTTATTGCAATAAGTTCTCTAGGATAACCTATGAAAACATTATAGTTTGTTCGAAAGAGCTTATTCATAAGTACTCAAAAGATAAGCGCTTAACTAAACTATTTATCCAAGTATAACCTAAGCTATGATGGATATCAGTGGTGATTTTTGTGCTCGCCCCAATGATAAATATTGGCCGACATTGTGGGTTTTTCCGCCATAATCTGCTATGGCGGTGTCACTAAGTAGTGGGTATGGCAGTATTTTTGCTCTCTGTCATGGACCACGATCGACAACACTTATATTATAAGTGCTTAACTAAGTTGTTCACTAAAATACATCTTAAGTTGTTTAGTGTTTACCATATTAAAATCCTTATGGTATTTGGTCTTTAATGTTCCCAATATCAACATTTCCTGTGATGAAGAATTTATCAGCTCTAGCTTTGATAGCCTGCTGAGGGAAAGTATCTTTCTCTGTTTAACTCTTGCTCTCAAACTCGGCAACTTTTTCTATAATGCATTGTTGTCATTTTTTTTTTTTTTTTGCATTTTTCCTTCTTGTTTCTGTGATCTGACCCTTTGCTTTGAACTAGAATGTAATCCAGTGAGGCATATGTTTACTTTTTATAAAGCAAAATAAAGGGCATGTGTTTTGTTTCTTGTAGGTTACGAGGACGTGGATAGTATCTATGCATCTAATGAAGACTTTAAGAACATGAAAGAGAAAGAAAGAGTTAGAGGGACTCATCTGCTGGAATACTTTGTCAGTAGGTGTAATGAAATTGGGGTAATATTTTTTCTGCTCTACTTGTGATTTTAGAAATTGTTTTGGATAAACTTCTCCATAAGCACTTATGGTAGAAGAAATATTTAAAGAATCTTGTAATAATCTTCTTCATCAGGAATCTTGTAATAATCTTCTCATAGAAGTTGAAATTAGCTATTGTATCTTAATTTTTTTAGAAGCTGTTGTGTAACTTCTTCATAAACAGACAGATTCTTTACTGTCATGAATCATTGACTGTTGGGTGAATATTGGACAACTTGTATTATTGGCCGTCAAGGAATATGACGTGTTTGATCTTCAACTGTTGTACGAGATTTATGACCGCTAGACCACATGACTGTAGTGAATCTAAATCCTTCATAAACATCTTATAATATCCTTGCTGACAAGCTAAATACTTATATGTTTGTAGGTGGCCTGTCAAGCATGGATTAAGCAGGGTGACCCCAGAGGTGTAATATTGAATGAGGTGAAACGGCTACATCCAGATTTACTAGTTGTGGGAAGCAGAGGTCTCGGACCTTTCCAAAAGTATGTGCTTGGTCTCTTTCTCCATTATGAATTGTCCAATTTCTTATGAAATTTCAAGAGTGCATCAGTTCTGATCACTAGTTCGACGAGTAACTTACGGTCAATAAACGTTTTGAGTTGTCATGTTTTGCAGGGTTTTTGTTGGCACTGTCAGTGAATTTTGTTGGAAGCACGCTGAATGCCCTGTCGTGACTATCAAACGCAGTGCAGATGAAACTCCGAGGGACCCTGTTGATGACTAGTATTTTGTATATTACACCTGTGTTGGTGGAGTTGAAAAAACAAAAACAAATATTGGACATAATGAAGATAAGTGTATGAACTATGGAGTTGTTCAGGGTAGGAACATGAGTATGATCTCAAAGTTTATTGAGCTTGCTTGCCCTTGTTCCTGCTCTGCTTTATCTGTATCTTACTGCATTTGTTGATTTCTTTGAATGTACAAAGCTATCTGCTTGTGTGGTTTGAATTCTGTATTGCTTGTAATACAATTGTGTAATAGTATTCAATAATATACTTGCCTATGCATTAACTGAAATTTGTGTTGGCCAAACTCTATGGAAGAGGCAAGTTCACACATGGGTGATTACACATATTTTTAGCTCGTTTCAATTACTTTTGGGTTAAATATATAACACTCCTATATAATATAGGCGAGTTGTGCTTTTTTATTCCGCTGTAATATATATATATATATATATATATATATAATTTTAACATTTTAAAAAAAGTTTAAATTTTATTTTAGCAAAATTCACCTTTTTTGTAGTGGGTGTTATATATCTAAATAATTAATTTATCAATCAAACGCTGAAAGGACACTCTGGCACTAATAATATAAAATGCAATGGACACCAAATCTATTTTATTTATCTATCTATTTTTAAAGTTTTATTTATGTATGAGTTTAAATATTTAATAAAATTTAATGTCTTTAATTCTTTATTAATAATATTGTTTTGATGCATGTTTAAAAGATCTATAAGATGCCTATAGCAAAGGAAAGAATAGTTGTTTTTTTTGAAGTTGTCTAAATTGTCCAATATATTTTATAAGGTGTAAGAATGTCATATAGATGTGTTAAACACTAATTTAAAACATAGAAACAATTTTTCAAAGTGTCGGACACTCTCATGTATCCATTTTACAAATTTTTACTCTACCTATTATAAATAATTTTTATAAATATCAATTAGAGACAAGTCTAATTGTCATCCCAACCATCAGAATCTAACAATGATTAATTTTTGTTGAAAAATTGAAAAAACACAAGTGAACTACTTTTTTGAATAATATTTTCACAATTAAAGTTTTCAAAAAGTTTCAATTATAGACTCGATTACACAATAGTGATTGATCAATGCTCCACTAAATTGAAATCCTTATTCTTTATTCAAGAGCTTGCACACTCAAAACAATAGCATTATTGATTAGGATAAAACCTTACATCAAAATATTGAAACTCCCATCGACCACCTTTATTAGTTGATGAATCATGATCAGTGGTCAAGGAGAAAAAGAATGTTAAACTTGATAGCTAGCAAAACCTGAATCATTTGTTACATATAGTCACAAATCAATATTGAATAGTGATTATCAGCCTAAAATAAGATTTCACTATAATTTAATTCCAAAATCTTCCATCAATTAGGGACAAACAGTGAATAAAAAGCATGCTCAGAATAGACCAGCCCTACACATTAGAAGATTGCTGGTAGAACCTCTATGAACATATATCCTCATTCGTGTACTAATTAGTTTTTATCGGAAGCTGCCAACTTTATTCTCTGTTGATGTTCAGCAACTTTGTAATCGACCACTTCGCGGAACAAGCTTGAATCAAGAACACAGTTATCGCTTCCATACACGGCAGCTTGGACACTTGCCATCAGTTTGGCTATTTCCCTTCCGGAAAATCCGTCGGTTTTAGCTGCGGCTTCCTTTAGGATATCATCGGTCAATCCTTTAATCTCAATCTTTTGTGGGTTAGCTTTGAAAGATAGTAAACCAGATTTTCTAGATCCAGCTTGAGCTATGTACTTGTCTAGGTAGAGCTTGAGAAGTTTAAAACGCTCCTCTTCCCCGGGCAAGGGAAATTCTAGGACCTCGTCAATACGGTCTGCCACAGCTGAATCAAGGTCACCGGGACGATTTGTTGCAAGGGCAAGGACTATGTCTTTAGACTGGTCACCGGTACGAAAGAGAAGGGCATTTAGTGCACTTCTTTGTGCTTCACTCATATAAGTCTTGTTCCGCCTGCAAAATTCAATCAAGTCACTCAGATAATTCTCAAAGAATGTTAATATCATTAACATTGCAATTTTAGCGACTTCTTCGGAACTTTGTTTCTAATAAAGTAACAAAATATGCTCCGGAGTAATATCCATGCTTATCCATGCTGGCATCTACCAGATTATAATATTCCTATGATTCCCTGAGCTAAGAGAAGGATAATATTATTATATATGAAAAATCATGGAATGGAAGCATTGCTTACTCGCATAGAAATGCATCAGCTTCATCAATGAAAAGCAGTAAACCTCTATTTGACTTCTTGGCCCAATCAAACAACTGGTGTATCTTTGTTACAGCCTGGGATCCCAGTGGAGCAACATCTCCCCCAGTCATCAATGCATAGTCCAATCCCTGAATTAAATTGAAAACAAAAATCGGATAAATTAAAAAAAAAATAAAAGGAAAGGATATCAGTTACAAAAAAGATGAGCACGTAAGGTCAAATGTTCTCAGGATAGGCTTTAATAATTCATAAAACATCAATATCCAGAAGCATGGTACTGAATATCCAATTGTAGCTAGTAACTGCTAAATACCACAGAAACAAGAACCTGAAATTGAGTTAAGAAAGACATATTGAGAATAAATTTCTTCAAGAAAAATAACTTGAGATTTATTAGTCAGAGAGCCTATATTGTCAGCAAAAATCATAAAAAATTAAAATAGGAAGAATCTGAAAATGAGGAGACAGTTTTTGCTCACAAGTTGATGAATTCCACTTAATCTAATACAGCAAAGCATAACATATAAACTTCCTCGTGAAATAGGAGAAACAAAATTTTGAAGAATGCACACAGCCAATTGCTTACTTACTTGACACACACAGGTAGTGTGAAACAATTGAAATCAATAAGTTGGAACAAGAAAATAAATAGACAAGTACAAGATCATACCGATTTATGAGCCAACTCTCTGGCAGCCATTGTCTTTCCTGTTCCTGGAGGGCCATAAAAAAGCATGTTTCTGAACGGTGCCTGGTGTGCTTTTGTGTTTGCAGTTGCAGATGCCAGTTGCTCAATTCTTTTATTAAGAGAAGGATGCAAAATTACATCGCCAAAACCCTTTCCATTTTTCGAAGCAGAATCTGGATCAGCCCTTCGAGAAAGGGTGCTCTTGGCTCGAGAAAACGCGCCAGACCAGGGGTATTTCCCTCTGGAGGACTCTCGTATCAATGATGGTTGTCCCAATATTCTATCAACATATCCCCAAATAACTCTTGCACCTTCCCTGCATTAAGTCCAATCTGAATGTAAATTATGCATAGCATGCAAATTATGAAGTATAATTTCACCATGAGATAAGAAATAGTCTGATAAATAGACGTTAAAAAATCAAGTTGTATCATCTCTAAAACTGCGCTAGGCCAAGCAAAAATAACATCCAGTTGCTTTTTACCCTCCTTTATTTTTAGGAGCTCATTCCAAACTTTCTGGATAGTTTATACCTCGTTGTGTAGACCCCTGCTGCCAGAGCAGTCACGCCACCAACTGCTACGACCAACTTATTTCGATCTGTTAGAATGGTTCTAAATCCCCCTGCAAAAGATAGCCAGAGTTTTAAAATTTAGGGATTGGTGTGACATTTGTCTAACCCAGCCAAGTAAAAATATTGATGGAGTTCATCATCCATTAAGCAAACAATAATACACCCCACAAACTACAGTTAAGCCGACAATTGATTAACCAACATGATGAAAGCAAAATTGATAAAATACCATTACCTCAAAAAACCATGTGAAATTTCATTTTAAAAGGAAGAGCATACATACACAATGCTTTATTCCATGTATTCAAGTCAACAAATACTGATTGCATATTACATAGTTGCATCTGGTAGAATATGTACCTCCAACATGGTCAAAGGTGGTATTTATGATAGAAATCCATTTTTCTCGCTCTGCATCACCACGCTCGATTAGTATTCTTCTGTTAACCTCTTCGGATAGCTTTGCTTCATGCGCTCTTGCTTCTGCTCCTGCCATTTCACTTATTCTGATTGTTTCACGTTCAATCTCAGCTTTCTCCTTTTCAGTTTGCCTTCGTTGTGCTTGAATCTGTTCTTCTGTTGCGCGTCGAGCTTGCTCCAGTCTGATTGATGAGTCTTCTTGCATTTTTACAAGCTCTTGGTTCCTTACTCTATGTTGCTCATTTTCTGCCTGACAAAAACAATGAACGAATGAGAAAAGACTCATTTAAATGACAAAAACAAAGAACCCAATTTTCAAATGGTCCAACATAATACCTGCATCCTCTTCCTTGCCAACTCATCCTCATACTTAGCCATCTGGGATTTTGTTTGTGCCTGATGCTGGGCAAGCTTTTTCTCTTCATCATATATAATCCTTTGTTTTTCCTGCTAGGAAAACCAATTGATAAGCCGAAAAAGAAAAAAAGAAAGAAAAAAAAACACAAGATACACACAGATTAGGAGAAAAAAGGTTTCACTTTCACACACATATTCAATAGTCTAAGGCCATACTTGCAAAAAATGAACTGATTTCATCATGAAGCTAGAACTTACATGGCAATGTATATGATTTATTAAACTGTCAGACAATTTCAACTTACAATAATAAAAAATTGATAGATAATGCAGACAGAAAACTTTCATCTCCTACGAAGTACATGCACAAAAACGACATGGACACCCCGGTAACATCCAAATTATAGGACATGCAACACAAATATCAAACATGTAAGCCAATTCAATAAAATTAAGTGAACTTGCTAAGTATTATTATTTACCATTTTCCCCCATGATAATGAGTCTCACAAAAAAGTACCCAGAGACATCATTGATTCATAATAGAATTTGAAAACTTTCGTTTCTTACCAGAACAAAAAAATTCAAAACGTGATAAATTATTGAAACTCTTACATGACTTTCGCTTTCAGTTCATCCATCTAATACCGAAAATCTAAAAAGAATTATCTTAGCAACCTTAGTC